TCTGGGGGTGCATTTATGTGGATAGGTGTTGGTATACAGTACCAGTCAAAAGTTTGGACACCCCTACAATAAATAATAAGTATAAAGACATCAAAACTAAAAAGTAACATATTTGGAATTATGCACTGACCAAAAAGTATTCAGCAAACAAAAAAATGTAGTTTGTTTGGTGGGGCAGCTCGGTGGGTTGAGAATCAGATGGTTGCTGGTTCAAATTTCCTTCACTTTCTGGTCAAACTTCTGCAGAGCTATTTCTACTGCATTTAGGTCAGGTGACTAGGTCATGTGATGCGACATCATCACTCTCCTTTGTCCAAACTTTTGACTGGTACTGTATGTGATTGACAGAGTAATCTAGTTTTTTGAATTTTCCTTTGTTAGATTTTTAAGTTTGTTATTAACATTTTTTTTTGTGGATGTCCAAATATTTGAATAAGTTTTTTCCTTTTCCATATAATCCTCAGAAAGTAATTCATCTGGTAGTTTTGTATGCTCGTTCAAATTATTTTATGTAAAATTGTGCATTTTCGCCATGAAGGGCCAGAACTTAAGTGCTGAAATCGTAAATAATTCAAGGAAAATATTCAAAGTGAAAATTTCAACCATCCATAACAATGTGCTCATGTATGAGAGGGTTGATGAATGAAGCGAGTTTAACATGCTACTGTCCTCTGAAGCTTCTCCCTGTCAGAGATGTACAGACTGTGTGGCATGAGCTGCAGACGACCTCCAGATTGTCAGGACAAGATATATTGCCATCCCAGACAATGTACTGTAAAGATGCTGTTTTAATTTGTATTTTTTAACTGGAATCTAGTTTAGGGTGCACCCCAGCCTTGTACCCAACTCCACCCCCCATGACCTTAAGCAGGATATGAGGTTAGAAGATGGATGGATGGATGGATGGATGGATGGATGGGTGGGTGGATGGATGGATGGATGGGTGGATGGGTGGACGGAGGGATGTTTTTTGAACTGGCGCCCTGTTCAAGTTGTACTCTGCTCTACTGTTGCTTGGAATATATATATATATATATATATATATATATATATATATACACACACACACACACAAATGGACGGTTAAAATCAGCCCTTACATGTGCCTGGCGGCTTTGTTTACTATACTGTTGTATCATTACACTGCACAGTAGAGGGCAATAGAGTCTCATGACAAATATACAAACTTTACCAATATTCACAGGTGCCTCCTTGACAGCTAGATAATTAATCGTCTAACTTTCTTTTTTCTCTAAAATTACTGGAACAAGCCACTGCTCCTAGTACAAACTGACCTGAAAAATTAATGAGAGAACCTTGACAGAATGAAATTGATCAAGATTAAATATGTAGTTTTGAGGACAGAATAATAATAATAATAATAATAATAATAATAATAATAATATCCCGCCTGCGCCTGTTGTGCCCAGGATAGGCTCGTGGCCCTCGTGAATAAGCAGTCACGATAATGGATGGATGGATAATAATAATAATAACTATTATTCTCTTGTTGTTGAAATTCCAAAGCCTAATCTGACTGTCTAATACTGATAAAACGTCCCCCGCTCCAGAAGAACAATATATCATCCTTCATAAAATAACTGATACTGCACAATATTTAGGAAAACTTCCTCAGTTTCATTCTTGCTGCAGCAGAGGCGTCTGAAAGGAAATGGATGTGCGAAGTGATCAGATTGTGCCTGCAGAAGACCGTCTGGATCAAATAGACAAAAAAGGTGATACGCAGTATCACATACAACAATTTCTATATAAAAGTACAGAAACAGCATATGGAGATGGGATTCAGTTGGGTGAATATGAAGATACTGTAATAATGTGTACAATACTGTGGTGAAAAAATACAGATTTCACTGGTAAGATATTGCATAACAAAGTAAATAATAACCAGATTAGCAGTTGATTAATAAACAGAATAGGTAGTACTGCACATTCACAGTCTGATAGCTGTCAGAAGGAATGATTTCCTGAGGTGTTTAGTGGAGTATTTTATGTTGAGGAATCTACAACTAAATGTGCTCTTCTGTCGAAACGCTACACAATGAAGCGGGTGAGCGGAATCGTCTTGTGTCTTGCACTTGCCTAAATGAGAATTAATTCCCAGAGCCAAGGTCCGAACAACAGGTTCCTTTATTAGTTTGCAATACGCTTACACAGGTAACGATTCTACTAATGCTCTCTTCTCGGCACCCCATTCTCCCGCTCTGTTGGCGGGCACTCTCATATACCACCCCATTTCAGCCAATTACCAAACAGGTCAGAGGTCAACAAATTAACAGTTTACAATTTAAAATTCCCCCTTTTTTATCTTTTGTGTGTGTGCGCATGCACCACATGTACAGTGTTATTTATTATTACTCTATTTAATATTGGTAATGTCTTACTCTATGTGAATCATCAAATACAACATGCAAGTAGTAGTAGGCCTACATGTTGTATATGGGGCCTGCGGATGGTTCGCTATCATCCACGGTTTTGGTTATTCGAGGTAGATCTTGGAACATATCACCCACAAATACGGGTGGATTATAGTCAGGGCTGCTTTCTCTCATCAAGGTAAAGTTAGCTTAATATTCAACATCCATACTGTAAAACATTCAAAATACTAACCTGTCATGCACTTCAAATGTTTCAGAGTATGATATCAATCCAACTGTGCAACACAGAGACTTATGTCCTTCATGTACCACCAGGATTGTTTATAATTAATAATGACATATACATGTACATTCACCTAAAGGATTATTAGGAACACCTGTTCAATTTCTCATTAATGCAATTATCTAATCAACCAATCACATGGCAGTTGCTTCAATGCATTTAGGGGTGTGGTCCTGGTCAAGATACAAGTTACAACCGAGGTATGCAGCAAAGTATTTTTGAAGCCACAACACGCACAACCTTGAGGCGGATGGGCTACAACAGCAGAAGACCCCACCGGGTACCACTCATCTCCACTACAAATAGGAAAAAGAGGCTACAATTTGCACGAGCTCACCAAAATTGGACAGTTGAAGACTGGAAAAATGTTGCCTGGTCTGATGAGTCTCGATTTCTGTTGAGACATTCAAATGGTAGAGTCAGAATTTGGCGTAAACAGAATGAGAACATGGATCCATCATGCCTTGTTACCACTGTGCAGGCTGGTGGTGGTGGTGTAATGGTGTGGGGGATGTTTTCTTGGCACACTTTAGGCCCCTTAGTGCCAATTGGGCATCGTTTAAATGCCACGGCCTACCTGAGCATTGTTTCTGACCATGTCCATCCCTTTATGACCACCATGTACCCATCCTCTGATGGCTACTTCCAGCAGGATAATGCACCATGTCACAAAGCTCGAATCATTTCAAATTGGTTTCTTGAACATGACAATGAGTTCATTGTACTAAAATGGCCCCCACAGTCACCAGATCTCAACCCAATAGAGCATCTTTGGGATGTGGTGGAACGGGAGCTTCGTGCCCTGGATGTGCATCCCACAAATCTCCATCAACTGCAAGATGCTATCCTATCAATATGGGCCAACATTTCTAAAGAATGCTTTCAGCACCTTGTTGAATCAATGCCACGTATAATTAAGGCAGTTCTGAAGGCGAAAGGGGGTCAAACACCGTATTAGTATGGTGTTCCTAATAATCCTTTAGGTGAGTGTATATAAAGCTGTTATGCTCCCTAACCATGAGACCTCATGATGTCAAACCAACTGTGCAGTGTTACGTTAGACAGGACGAAGGACGTAAGAGCAGAAGTCAGGGCAACCAAAAGAGGTCTTAGTAACAGAAAAGGAACAGCCAGAAAATAACAGGATCCCAGGGGATCATAAACAGGGAAGAATAGGAGCAGCAACTAGGAATGACGTCACAACTCACAACGTTCCAGTACAGCAAGTGGAAAAAACACAGCAAGTTGGAAAAAAATTTAGCAATACCAGGGAGCCATTTCAAGAAGTGAGATTTGTTGGATTTAATTTACCCCAGTTTAAATGGCCTTTATCTCCGTTCACTTACATTTAGCCCAGAATACCTTAAATCCCACAAATTAGCCAACTAAGCAAGAAATCCTGCTTTCTGAAATGGGCCCCAGTTCTAACCCAGTTAATTGTTAACCACTGCTAGGTTATGTTGAATATTAAACTAACTTTACCTCGGTCCAACACTCACTCCTATGGCGTAACACTCATGCTTTCAGGCTCTTATGGTCATGCGATAAAACATACGGCAAATCTATATTATTCCATTATAAATCTAACATTAGCTACATGAAAAATGTTGGGGTAATTTGCAAAACATACAGATTATTTACAAGATAATAAAACTGTGACATACTTGGCCAACTGTTTAAAATTTCTGAGGTAATTGCATATGATATGTTGTTATACCTGCTGTGTACGGTGACCATAAAGGATATTGATCTAAAAACACATCCCGCCCTCTTGACAAGTAATAGTATGTTTAACCGTTGTCCTGTGTTAGCTTTCTGTTGCTATATCTTATGTTAAACAGGTCGGTGCTGAGCTGTGTCTTAAATCAGCCACAAAATACCCTTTAAAACAATTATTTATCATCCAATTTGTTTCTTACCTCTTGGTTACCTTGTTAGGTTTCCTTATCAATGAAAAGATTGGTTTTAATATTTTTAATATTTCTGGACCTTTCTCTTGAGGTTTATTATAAAATAAACCTCAAGAGAATTATATTAATAAACTGAATCGGTCTTATCATGCCTTACATGTATCTGCATGTAAGGTCTTATCTTGCCTTGACTTTGTTTTAATTTATTTTGTTTAAATAGAGATTCCTGACAAAGTCCAAAAGCCTTGATGCAGAACACAAATCTATGTGGCGCTTTTATGCATTTTAAACTTAAAAATGGGTCGGTGTCGACAATAACACGATAGCAAAGTTAAATATATCCACCACGTCAGCTATATACAGTACCACGGTCCCAAAGGAATGACCCGCCCCTTATTAGGGTTAGTTTCGTTTTCAGCGAATCGAAACCGTACTTGCATATATAAAAACCAGAGCGTCCAGGCATCCACAAAGCTTGCCTGAGGTTACCCACACAAAGCATCGGTGTATTTTCTGTACCTGTTCCTTATATTTAATTGCAAAACCGCGCACCAGCAAGCAACTATGGGTAAGTTTGGATTATCTACGGGTTTTTTTTTATTGTTATCGTTGGAACACAGTAACATCAAATCTGTTTTTTTTTTAACAATTATTAAATTGGCAAAAATGTAAAATGAAAATAATAATAATATATATATTATGTTAAATGTGTATATATATATATATATATATATATATATATATATATATATATATATATATATATATATACACACACACACAATTTTTTGTTTCACTCATTTCTCAATTTATGGGTGTGAGAAACTGTCGGGTAAGGTAACGGTCATCTCTGGCATTAGGATGCGGCTTTCGCCTTTTACCTGGCTGCTTTCTGGTCATTCCCAGTGTCTCCTGCTTCACCTTATTCTTGTGTACTGCTGTTTTAGAAATGTTAAACCTTAAAGCATCCTTCTGCCAGCAGAACCACAATTAAACCATTATTTAAAAATGTAGATTTGTTTAAAAATATATAGAGTGGTCTCTTTATATATATATATATATATATATATATATATATATATATATATACACTGGCATGCACAGATAGAGACGAGGTGGTGCTGAAGCACTTGCCCTTTTGCCCTCAGTCCAAAAAA